GGATGGTATAATTTTGGGTATTACCTTATTATTGGATAATTTAAAATTTTTAAACATAAATTGTTCATCTCCACATGTATTTAAAGCTTCTTCAGTTTTTGGACCATGATGGTCTATCATAGATTCAAAAATTCTAATAGTACGAAGAATACATTTGTTTGCCTCAGCTATATTTAAACATCTATTTTGTAGTATCAATGATAAATCTGCTAGCTCACTAATAGCATCATGAATTATACCCAAAACATAAATATTTGTAGTGTTATCAATTATTATTTTAGTATTAAGAGATGACATATGTTATAAACAATTAGTTTAAAATTATTTTTAAAATATTAATCATAAAAAAAACATTTGGGTACATACTTTGCAACTTTGTACTTACACCAGCTTTTCTTCCTAGCATAATAAATGCACCATCACTGACAAATGCAATCAAATGCTTTTTGAGAAAATCATCAGTCATTCTATAATAAAATAGGTTTGTAATAATTGCATTTTTTATCACTTCAGCAGATATTGCACTTAATTCTACCATGTCTAAAAAAAAGTTATTAATTCCTCACCAATAGCAGTTCTTAAACATATTACTAGCATAGTTTTTTTACTCAATGTGGTGGATTCGTCTACGCACAGCTCTCTTTATTGGTGAATAACATAATATTACTATATAATAACATAATAATAACATTACTACAAACCTTTTTTCTCATTTTAATAGCAATGTGATAAACTATATTAGAACATGACTTATCACTTTGTAATAATCGTCTCATATTAAGGCCATTACAGATTTGGAGATCAATGAGTTTTAGATGAACAGAAAAAGGGCGTTGATTTTTAGCAATGCAATATGCAGTTCTAAACACTTTTTCTGTAGTTTCTATTTCAGTTTTAGATAATTTTTTAATATGCTCTGGAATATCATCAAATTCGCTTTTATGAATAATTCTTTCCATATAAATGAGCATTTGAAGTTTCATGCAATAAAATTTTCTTCCTTAGATTTACTTGTTTTTTAATATCTGGTCCAACAGCACAAATTTCTCCTTTAATCCGGTCTTTAACAAAATGAGTTCCGTTTGTTTTGCTTAAATTTAAGTTGCCTTTTTTACAAACTTCAAAGCCAAGATTATTTTCATTCAAAAAAAATCATCAAAAATTCATCAGTAAAATATTTTATATGTTTTTTATCCCAGCATTGTGGTCCAATATTTTTTATACTTTTATTTTTTGGGATTTTATTGGATATTTTAGCATCCTATAATAATAAAAAATTTAAATAATTGCAAAATTATGTTATTTAGAGGTTTATTGTAAACTTTTTGCTGGAGGCTCAATCATAAAATATGATATTTATGGTTACATATGGTTATAAATAGTGTACATTATGACGGTAGCCACCGTTTGAAAAAAAAAATTCTAAAATGAGAAGAGAATATTGTAAAACGATTGATCGAATGACGTAATAAAATGACCAGTCATCTATAATAGAGGTTTGAACCCTCCTCAAAATGTTAAAAAAAATGTAAACACTTTATCTGATTATGTTTTTACGTATGCACACAATAGTTTTTGTCCGTATGGCAGATGAATACATTTGATATGTAAATGTGACAAAACCAAATGTTCCGTAGTAATTTGTTTTGTTAACCATTGTTGTCATCTTCGTAGCCCTAAACCGCTTTACTCCTATTTAAAACCTACGTATAAACTGCGTAATTAGTAATTAGTTATATTAAACCGCGTAAACTGCGCATTACCTTGTTCTAACCTAACCCCTGAACTCTGTATACAATTGGTATATCAACACGTTAACACATTATTGTGATATAGCTTTTGATAATTATCACAATATGCAAAATTAGTCTAGAAAAGTAAAAAAAAATCGAATTGAAACATACGTCAAATTAAAAAGTATAAATGAGCCTTTGAGTACCTATCAAAATTCTAAATTAAATTAAAATTAAATAAAATTATAAAACGTGAAAAATTAAAAAGTTTGACTAACAAACATATTAGTAGTGAAACACCAATTGATCAATACTCCGTCCTACTTTTAGCTTTTTAAAATGTAAATAATTTTTTTTTTTATACAGTCGTAACGAACTAATCGTATAAATTCAAGATATCTCGTGACCATGGTGTTCGCATTTTTTCCGTTTGACAAAAATCCTGCGGCGCAATGTACGTTGTGATCAATATACAATATTTTCCTCGTTACTTGTGCATTAGATACGGTTTACGATCGCCGACGCAGTCGCAGGACACGTAGTCTGTTAGGTAGGGAGGGAGGTGAAACTTGGGAGGATGCGCGTACGTTCGCTCAAATCAATAGTTGTACCCGTGTTTCCGGTGTCCTCTAGCGCCGCACACCTGCCCACACTGTTGGACAACGAACGCACACAAATGCACGCATGTACACTACTCACGAACATCTCTGCTGCGTGAATACTGTATACACCCTTATTGAACGAATCAACGTGTGACGGGTGTTTTTTTTCTCCTTAGTTTTACAGTACGTGATTTTTCTTGTCGTTTTTTTCGCCCCCGCCGACGACATCTCCAACATGTTGCGTGAAGCTCATTTAATTTTAATGCTCTACGTTTTTTACCTATTCTGGCAGTTCCTATTTTCCACGATACCGGACTTCGTCTTCGATCTGGAGCTATAACCCGCGAAAACTGGTTCACGCATCCTTTTCGTCTCATCTCAACCACCGTGTGGGTTTTTAATTTTTCCTATTCGTCTTAGACACCCTTATGGTTCACTCAGGATCAAACTGTTCGTAATATCTTCACTAACTGATAATAAGTTACAAACGTCAATGCAATGTCTCTCTTGTAAATCAATCGCTAGCGGTTTTTTTTTCCATTAATTTTGTTCAATAGATCACTACAGTTCGCATCGTCTTTGAAGTTTGTCGTTGACAATAGCAGTTATATACTGACTTAAAATGAAGTGAGTAATATTATTCATTATATAGTTATTAGTAAATAATTTTTCATATAAATATAAATTTATTTATTTATGTATCTTATTTAATAATAAATTTATATTAATACATTTAAATTCCTATATTTGTATCGTTTGTGTCATAATTAAAACCACCCGTTGTTCCTTAAAACATATTTGGTATATTGGTAAATTAGCCCATAGTGAAAATTATTCCTATATACGTCACTGTGTACATCATTGTTGTATGATATAATTTATTTATTAATATTTGGTTTGTTTTGGAATTGTATACCATAAGACGGTTGCAATTTTTATGGTGACAATGGGGAGGGAGGAGATGAACATTTAAAAATAAAAAAATCACATGTTTTAAATATTAATTTAGAACTGTTTGCTTATATTTGCAATGTTTGAAACTTAAATTTTTGATTTTTTTATTGTATAGTGGACTATACTGTGCTGCAAGAATTGCTGAAAATGACCAAAAAGGACCAAGAAAGAAAACCATTATCATCTTTAAATATGCAAATACTCAAATACTTTTGAACACAGCGCCATAATGACTATTCTATAATGTCAACGTTATATAACATTTTGAATTTAATAATTAATTATAAGTATATTTCTTATTGTTTTTTATCACACAAAAATATATTGTTCTAATCCTTTACCGTTAATGACTACTTATGTTTTAGCATATTAAACAACTAATCAGAAAATGAAAATTGTTTTAAAATGAATTATTCACTGATTCTCGTGAACTAATCTACCCTACGTCCACATTAATCATTTTTAACATATTTAACATGGTCTTATTGATAATTGTTAAATACCTACATAACAATTAATAGATTATCTATCCATCACAAACAAACACACATTAATAAAAATAATTCGACACCTCAATTCAAAACTGCAATAACTACAAAAAAACCATTATTGAGTAATTACAGTTTTAAAAAATTTAATATTTTAGAATTACTATAAATAATTTTTATTAATAGATGGAAAATTAAAATTTGAAATGCACTATTTATTATATAGGCCAAACTAGAGATGTAAGCTCGGTAAATTTTTACCGCGTAAATTTACCGGTATGGTAAATTACCAGTAAATTTACCAATTATTTTTTTATAGGTAAATATTATTTTACCGAAAATATTAGCATGTGACACCTTAAATTATACGTCTTATCGAGATGAATATTCTTAATATATTAATATAATGGAATTGTTGATATAATATAACTTAAAACGTCAAACGTTCAACATGCTTACAACTACTGATAGTGTACTACATTATTACATTTACATAACATATTATCATACCAGCAATTATTATCACTATTAATAGTACGGTTGTAGCCATAATATTTATTTACATCCGTGCTATTAATAAATTTGATTTTATTGTCATCGGCACATCGCGGCCTATGGACTATGACAGTATCACTTGATTCATGGCTGTAGATACTATTATCAACTTTTATTATTTAAAACTTATTGATCTTACATTCATTTGTTTAATAGTTTACTTTTTATTTAATTTGTGTCATTAAATATTAAAAAAGTTAAAATGAAGCCACAAGAAATTAAAAAGAAGTATTTTATAGAAGTTAAAAACAAGTGTTATAAATGTGTATTTTGTAAACAAACATACAAAGAAAATGTGACAAGAATGGTGTTACATTTTCAATCTTGTAAGAAAGTTCCTTCGTCCATTAATAAGACAACACCAAATCAGCTTGGTAAGTAAGAATTGGCCTAATCTTTTAAAATACTACACTTTCACTAAATTAAGCCATACTACCTATTAAACTATTAATTAAAAATAAAAATATAGTAATATAGTTTACACATACCTAAAAATACAATTTAAGACCATTTAAAAATTATGTAAGTATATTGATGTATTTTATTATTTTAGATACTTATTTTTTGCAACATCAAAATGATAGTTCCTTGAATAGTACAAGTGCTATTAAAAATATCCAGGACCAAAATTCTAATTTAAAACAAGGAAATATAACATCATTGATGAAATGAATTCAAACGAACAAGTAAGAATATTATTAATAATATTTAATAATCAATATAAATTGATTATCCGTTACTTTACTTAATTTTATAAATTTTAAATTATGAAGATAAAAATGGATTAAAAATAAATATTCTAGAATTTATAAATTTACCATATTATACATATAAATACAGCCAACTTATCTATTAAATATTAGTTTAATTTTTAATATTTTTGCTTATTTATTAATATGGCAATTTATAAAGTCCAATATTTTTATAATAATACTTATAGCTATGAATATTAGTTTAATTTTTAATATTTTTGCATAGGTATTTATTAATATGACAATTTATAAAGTCCAATACTTTTATAACAATACTTATAGCTATGAATATTAAATTATAATTATTAAACTGGTATATCTCTATACCTTTATACATAATAATTTTTGATCATTTTTATAAATTATTGTATTAGTTAATATACCTAATAACTATTAATTATATTGTTTATTTAAAATATTTAAATGAAATCAATAATATTATGAATATAATAGCATTGACTATAAATACTATATTATAGTATTTATAAACAATGATAATAGATATCAACTTACTGTATTGTTAGTTAAACATCTGAAATTTGAAAGACTTACTATATTAAAAAAAAATATATAAATAAATACTTAGTGTATATAACTTAGAAAACAGTTTTTTTTTTTACATACCAAATAACTTTTTAAAAGTATATTTATTAATTATTATTGACTAAATAGGAACATTTATGGAAACTTTTGGTAACAGCTATATATTTAACAGGAATTCTGTTTTTCATTGTGGAAAATGATTATTGGATTCAATTTTTTAAAGATTTAAGGCCAAGTTTTATTCCTCCATCAAGACATCTTATGTCTAATAAACTTCTTGATGATGAATATATACAGATGTCAATTAATGTAAATAAAAAAGTTAATGAAGCTTTTGTATTTGGAATACAGATAGATGGCTGGAGTAATATCAGGTATATTGATTGATACTATTTTAAATAAAAATGTGTATCTAATTATATTTTATTATTTATTTTAGAAATGAACCTATTATGAATATTATTATTACTACCCCAGAACCAGTTGTTTACAAATCTTTAAGTACTACTAGAAGTAGACACACAGCAGAGTATGTAGCCAATGAGTTAAGTATAGTCATTGATAGTATTGGAAAAGATCGTTGCTTAGGTGTTGTATCAGATAACGCAGCTTCTATGAAAAAAGCATGGACAATTTTAAAGAATGATCTATGTTATAAAGACTTGCCTATAGTATATTATTCATGTATATGCCATACATTAAACTTACTTGTACATGATATATTCAAACTTAAAAATGTGAGTGCATTGGAAGAAATGGCAAAAACCATAGTAAAGACAATTAATAACACTCATATTTTAAAATCTATATTTGTTATAATTCAAAAATCAAAAAAAGAGGTATTTACTACTTTAAAAATACCTGTTAAAACTTGATGGGTTTCAATTGTTCACTGCTTAGAAAGTCTTATACAAAATAAAGGGATTTTGAAGCAATTAGCTTGGTCTGATGATGATAATGTAGTTAAGAAACTAGGAAATATACAAATGTACATTGTTGAGTTTTCATTTTGGTATAAAATAGATAAAATATTGGACCTAATGAAACCTATAACTGAATGGATAAAAAAGTTAGAATCAGATAATCCATATGTTAGTAATGTATTTTATGCATTAAATGACATAAGTTCTCTCTTGACATTAAAGCTTCCTAACATAGATTTTCTTTCGGATGTAGAAAAAACATCCATACTTGAATCATTTGAACATAGAAAATGTGTGGCTCTTCATGCTATGCATTACGCTAATTCCATGCTTGATCCAAGATATAAAGGACAGCATTTATCACAAATAAATGACATAGCAGGTGTTGAGTGCATTTTCAATGTAGCCACAGCAATAATGCCTGAAGAAACTCAACAAATAATGATTGAACTAGCTCAATATCGTTCCAATGAAGGCCTTTGGAGTAATAATTTTATTTGGTCTACTGAAATAAAAAATTTAAATCCTTTCCCTTGGTGGAAGGGGATATGTGGTAGTTCTTTTTTAAACAAAATTGCAGTAGCAATTTTATCTCTGCCTCCACCTTTTACTGCTACAGAAAGGTCTTTCAGTACATTCTCATTAATACACACAAAAAAAAGAAATAGATTAACAAATGAACGTGCAGCAAAATTTCTTTTATATTCATCAAAATAGAAATAATTTTAAAAAATCAAGTATTCCTAAAAATAAACCTTGCAAAGAGAAACAGGTAAATACACTATGTCATGACACTAATGAAATTGACTATCAATCTACACCTGGACTATCTACACCTAGAACATCTACACCTGGACCATCTACACCAGGACCATCAACAATCATGGCAACAAGTACACTAAAATCTAAAAATATGTTAAACTTAACTTCTAGTTCTTTCTCAGAATCTTCAGAAGAAGATTGGAATTTATTTGACGATTCAGATTCCACTCTAGATCAGACTGGGAAGAATTATATGAATATTTTTAATTTTGATTTTATACTTATTAATTATTTATTATTAATAAGATCTTTTTATAATTTTGTTTAATGGTGTATTTCACCATTTATCACACAATAACCAGTTTGGTAAAATGTATTTATTTTATTTTTATTACTTTTTATTTTTATTATTAAATTATATAATTTTAACTAATTATAACTCGAGGTAAAGACAAATTAAATATAAAACTAAAAAACTAGAATTTAAATTGTTTTTTTGTTGTTGATGTTATAGTTACCTAATGAATCTGATTTGATTAATTTACAATTTATTTTATTGGTAGGTACATTTATAATATTTTTATTCATAATATAAAGTAATTGAAAATACATGAAAATAAGTCAATAATAAGTAATAACACTACTAGGGACTTATATAAAATCATATATTAAATTTATAATACAATGAACACCACACTATCCAGTAAATAATAAAAATAAGCATTACAATAATTATAAGTTCATGGAAAAGTGGAAGTGAGGAGTTCCTAAAGGTGTTCCTATGGCGACATACAAAAATTATCAAAATTTACCAAATTTACAGAATTTACGTAAATTTTTCTCTGTAAATTACCAAAAAAAAAAAAAATTTACATAAATTTTACATCTCTAGGCCAAATCTAATTATAATATCATTTTTAATTATTTGCATAAATTATTTAAGGACATATATCAAAATTTAATCAAAATACTACAAATATTTTGAAATAATTAGACATATTGCTACATTGAGTACAATTTTATTTAAATATTAGATTTATTCTATTATTCATTTGAACTAAAATTGTATAGATTAACTAAGATATAAACTAAGTGGTTCGATGTATAATAAATACTTTTAAAGTATTTACAATTGAAAATAATATAATACATTGTAGAAGTAAAAACATAATTTTTTATGTGAAATAAAAAATAAAAACTTGAAATCAAATGTTTAATAATATTTTAAAATAATTAAAATTTTACCTATGTAATTATACTTAGCATACTTCTTTACATTTATATTTAAATTTTATAATATTATATTTTTATCACTCCCATTTCTAAATTAGTCACTTTTTTAAATTATCTGCCTTTGGCAGAATATATCACAATTTTAAAATATAGAATAAAATAAACAAAATTATAGAAAGCGTTTCCGGTTGTTACTAATTCAGATTTAATATGTTTGTGTCTTTTACTGTGCAAGTTAATGTATTTCTATATTGTAAATAGTGTTACTTAAGTTCTTAATTTAATAGATATTTCTTTACTGTTAAGTTTAATTAATCTTTACGAGGATTTTGAGATGAAAGATTTATATTGAACTAACGGAAAATTGTTAAACTGTGAAAAAAATCGTCATATATTATTAACGTAACGTAACATTATTGCTATGTTAATAATTGTAGACATGAATAGATATAAAAATTTTGCATTCGCTTCTTCGGTATACGAAGAAATGTATGGAATAATTAAGGAATTTTAGGGTTTTATTTTTTCGTTTGGTATGCTATAAAAATAACCATAGAAAATTTTTTTAAAGTCGGATAAAATTGTAAAGAACTTAAAAACATAATTGATAGTTTCATCAGCTGAACTTATTACCATAGAGACACATTATATTCTCAGATAATAAAACCAAAATTAAAAAACACATATTTTAATTTAGTACTTTTTTAATCACCTACACAATTTTTAAACTTCTACAAAACACAAAAATCACAAAAACTATTGATTGACACACTCCGAAAAAACACATGGCATCGACGGAAAACGACAAGAAAAGTAAGCTTTTGTCGTACCAATGTATTACTATAAATCGCATAATATATTTTTTCTTATAATCTAATCTTGAGATTAAATTAACTAAATATATAAAAATTACTTTAAATAAAACTCCGGTTGCAATAGGTGCTACTGAAAATTTGAATAATCTTATATCGAACAAAATTAACGTCCAAGAGGATAAAACGAGTACAGCTGTAAACGATTCTAAGACAAATGACAAAATAGACGATTCAAAACAAACAGAAAAATTCGCAGGAATTCTGTGTGCAACACAGTTAAAGAATAATCTAAGCAACGGTTTCAAATTAACAACTATAAATTACGTTTCCGAACTCCACAAAGCATTGCTTAAAGAATGCAACAACAATTTATTAGACTTTAAATCTTTGAATGCATCATTAGACTATGAATCGTTGACAAACGTCACAAGCCGTACGTTTAAAGCTATACAGGTAACGGCTATGAATAACATTTAATAGTGGGATGGATCTTATGGGTTGGGATTTTACTAAGTGGCGCATTTAAAGGGAGCGAAAGAGGCGAATGCCCCAGCGGCAAAATGTTAACAGTTTTAAGAGGGCAGTTTTATTGAGTGTATTATTTATTTATTTTTTATTACAAAATGTATAACATTAATTAACATGCATCGTGAAACATTTTTTAATTGATCAACGATTTTCTACTAACGTATTATCGTATTAAATAGTTTTGAGTTGAATGTGATATGAATACTACTGATAATGTAGGTATACAACAAATTATACTATATGAACTATAAGAGTTAGTTATAAGTAGGGCTCGGATTTCAATGCAAAGTGCATATTTTTTTAGTTGATCATACACAATGCTCTCTAAGAACATAATTCGTTTCATGTAACGAGGGTTTCAAAACTACAAATTTTATTTTTCATTTTTTTGCATATTTAAACGTTTTTTCATTTTTAGTATTATTGGGTAATTTTGTTGGTTTTTAATGCATATTTGTTCAATATACTAACAAATTTAGCCTATTCAAAATAAAATTTAAAGACAAATTTTCTTGATATTTAAGTTGGTTTATCGGGTTTTTTCATACACATTGTCAATCTTTATTTTTCGATTCAGTTTTTATCTTATCTTAATTTATTATTGACTATAGAACGTCATCAGTATTCGGTATAATTACAAATAATCAGCTAGTTCGTATTACCTCGCAGACGTTGCTCGGATTACGTGTGAATGTGATTTTAATGTATTAAATAGTGTATTAAATAACGCCCAAAATAAAAAAATTATACCATTTTTATGATCATTTTTGTGCTAAAATGCATTTTTTAAGGACATTTTTAGTTATTTTTTAGAGCATATTTGTATGATTTTAAGTACATTTAAATCCGAACCCTAGTTATAAGGTATATTTTTATATAAATTGTGGTGTAAGGTCTAACGAATACTATTTTTTCATAATTTTTTTTTTGGTACCTATTTACTCTCGTAGGCAAGAAAAAAAATGTAATTAAATTTGACACACAAATATACAATTGGTAATTATTCGTTGGGTTTGATTTTTTTCTTTGTATGATCATACGCAATGTTAGGAACAAAAAGTTTTTTCGGTGTTGGGATATTTTCCGAAAATCGTCGAAGAAATGAAAAATCGGGGCTGGGTGGAAAAACGAAATCCGTTAAAACCGCCAATCAACTATGCGCAGTATAGTAAATCGAAACGTAAATATATTGTATACTTACCAACAAGTAGTACCCAAGCGAAATGAGTTGAATGCAAAATGTCACATTCTTTGTTTTCTAGCGTACTCGGTAAATTGGATTGAATCTCCACCAATAATATCGTCGATGACAGAAAACGAAGTCATATGGGAGCGATTAAAAAACATGCAGTCGTGGGAAATTCTAAAAGACAAACGGTCAGATTTCATATTCGTCACTAGAAAACAACTCATCAATTGGACTACCTTACATAAATTAACGTCAGTTAGTCAGATGAAAAAACACCTGTTCTGCAGCAAAGTAAGACGTATATAAGTATACGGAAATACTTGTTGCGTTGTTTACAATTCTTCTTTTAATTTCGTTTGAAACAAAAAACGATTTTTTACAACACTTGATTTTATTTTATTTTTAGTTAAGATAGTTCAATATAGTACAAATAATTCAGATATAAATAAATTGCAAATTCAAATTAAATATATTGATAAATACACACACTCACAAAAATGTTGACTAACAGTTTGTTTTCAAAATAGTCGACTTACATTTAAAGTCAATGACGTATTTAGTTAAAGAGAGATAGAGTTGAGACAGTTCAAAGTTTCATAAATTGAACTATTATGACTGAGTTAAAATACCTGATTTTTTAGCCACCATATATCGGACTAAACGTTTGATCTCTTTAATTAGAAGAAAACAAGTGTATATCTGTTCCCTCGATGGTTCAAAATATAGTGTATATTTATATTTTTTCTATAGTGTTGGAAGACAATTTAATATTAGATTTTTTTTTCCAGATACTTCTATAATTTGAATTTATGTATTGTGTATTATCTCAAATAAATATATTATAGTGATCAGGGACGTATTTAGTTACAATAATCATCCATTTTTATGCGTCAATTAAAAAAATTTTAATATTTTAATATTTTGCATAGCAAACACACTGCAATTTTCATGATAATATTATCAAAAGTTGACCGTGTTAAATCTATAGATAATAAATATAATATTTTTTGAAAAATCGTATTAAACGTGTGTAGGGGTTGCAATAAAACTTTACTTGGAGCACCAAAACTCTAAATACGTCTTTTGATAAAAAATATGTATTAAAAACGTACACGTAATAAAATAAATAACGATGGCGATAAAATACTATCGTAGTCTTAAATTCAATTACATTTTTCATCATGAATCACATTATTTTACCAAAATAAACTTCTGCATCAGGTAAAAATTTATTGAAATCAAGTAAAACTCAGTCTGTCTCAATATGAGCCATAAAGTCAATCACCGATGAAAAAATAGTGACTGAAGATTGAAGCAGTAGAAAAAAAAAAATGATAACTTACATTTATGTATCCCAGCTTCTACGCTTTTAACTATAAAAAAAAAACAAACTCTATAGATTAGATTGTGGCCAATTATTTATCACAAAAAACAAATTACAAATTTATTTAATAACATACTAGTATAATCATTGTGAAAATTCGAAGTAGATAATTTATTTATATAAAAAAAATTATAGGTGCAATCGAATCAATACACAAACACATTTTAACAAATCAATAAATGAGTTAATATTGAAAATTGAAAAATATATCGAAATGACAGAGAGTGTTTATTAAAATATATGTTCCGCAGCATTAGGATAGACTATGTATGAGAGGGTGTAATTTACATAAAATCATTTTACAGTGCTTCTTTCCAGACAATATTAGCTAATATAAGTAAGAATATTAGTATTGTTTGTGAATTGTTTGTTGTTATATCACTGAGTAAGAGCCAATGAGAATACATTATTTAGAAAAAATTGAAATTAAAGTTGATTGTGCATTCATAACTTTCCTCAAATTCAACAAATTTAAGTAGTTAATAGTTCAAAAGAAAGAGCACGATCCACTGAGTGTTCTTAGACTTGTTTCGACAGCCTACGTTAACTAGAACTGTAGTTATAGAGGTTTGAGTGAAGGAAAATATGGAAAATCTTGAAAATATTGAATGTAAAGTTGATTGTGTACGCATAAATTTTCTCAAACTCAACGAATTTAAGCAGTTAATAACTCAAAAAAAAAAAATAGCTTGATCTACTGAGTATTCTGAAAGTGAAACGATCAAGATCCATTTGTTAGAAGAGAAGCTATGCGAATTCGAATTACTTGAGTGAATGTGTCCCATAAGAAATGTACAGGAAAGAATTGTGTTGGTGGGAGTTGAGTAAATTTCAATGATTGATGACATATCTGTGTCTAAATACCTTTCATTAAAAAAAAAAAAAAATGAAAGAAATCGGCCGTATAGAACGACCAGACGAACTGATTTTAGTTTTCATAGATTTTTTTAATACATAAGATAATTTTATATACCTATATATATATATATATTAGGGTGGTCCTTATTTTTTTGATGTAATTTATTTAATACAGTATCCTCTAAATTGTTAAGTTATATATGTACATATTATAGGTAAAATTTGGAAGGTCTTACTCAACCTCTTCTGGTGTCGCATTAGGGTTGAATATGGCAAAAGAGAGTAGTTTTCTTGTTTTTTTAAATTAATTCAGAATGTATAGGATTTAGCATGAACATGCAAATAACTTAATGATAGATTTTATTAATATCTATAAAAAACATTTAATGCAAATTCTCCTAAGTCCATTGTTTTTTGAAGAAAAATTAAAAAATATCAGAATATTCTATATATTTTTCAAAATTGAATTTTTTCGGTTTTTTAAATATATATAACGTACGGTTGGGTGTATGATAAAATATTTTGTATAAAAATTATACAGAATTAAGTAATCTAAAAAAAAGGTTTTAGGTACAAATCAACTTTGATATAGGTTTTGATTTTATTTACTTATTTCTTGTACTTTTTCAAAAAAAAAAAAAAAAATACTTACATTTATGAATTTATTTTAACAAATGTTATGCATAATTAATTGATGCCTCCTAAAATGATTTCTTGAGTTTGTCAATTACTCTGTGGGTATTTTTTCCGGTAATCTTGAACGGTCTAAAAAATATAGTGATATTTTTAAGTTTGATTTTATTTTAAAATAGTAAAATTATTTTTTTGTAATACAAATTGTCTTTGTTTCTCATTTTTTGTAAATTTGTGATTGTATTCTTCAATAAGCTTGATTCCCTTCTCAGCTGAGTCATTCACAACTTTAAGTGATTTTATAATTTGTTTTCCTATTTTATAGTCTTCTAGATTATTCCAATTAGCCGGATCAACAGTTAAAAACTCAACAGAAATGTTAAACCTCTCGAACATTCCAATCGACTTATAATTTATCAAATCAACTAAAAGATCTTTTTGAATAAAATGTAAAACATCTTTTAATTTAAGAGCTATTTTTTTTCAAATTCGATTTCTTCCTCATCATTGTTTATGCTACATTTGTAAGAACTCAAGATTCTTTCAGCCATTTTGTGTTTTGTATTATTATCTAAACGATCGTCAAATTTTGAAAATGTAACACACTCTGGATTCAAATACCACAAATGATTTATTATTTTTTTTAATCTTACATCTGCGATTATTTTATTATGCAATTTATATTTTTTTAATCTTTAATAATATGTTATTAAGTGGGGTTTTAATTGCATTGGCAGACAAAAATCAAACACGGACGTAACATTTAACTATAAAATAACAAATATCTTTTAATGCCTTTTCTTCTTTGCTATTTAATTTAAATTAATCTTTAAATATAAATATTTTAAGGAATATATGACCTTAGCCATCCATCTGGCTAAATGATATGGGCCAGGCTTTCTAAAAACAATGCCTCGAGGTGGAACACTACCTAAAAATATAATAACTAGTTCTAAAAATTCTTGGTAATCATCTCGAGAAAGATCTTCGATAATTTTTATTTTTGTATATACAATAATTTCATCGATTTCATTTTTTAAAATATTATGAATATAGGTATCATAAACCAACGTGGATATTTTGCTTTTATCAATATTTTCCCACGCATTTTGAAATCTTTTAAAAAGCAATATATCTAGTCCAGTCATGGTAAATAATTTTACTTCTATAAATACTCCTTGTAAAACAAGTTCAAAAATGTGATGTTGACAACCCAAAAACAATATTTCTCTATCTAAACTTTTTTCTAAGAGTGTACATGTTCCATTCAACCTCCCTGTGTTAGAAGCTATAGTATCAAACACAAATTCTTGAACTTGTTCTAGTAATGACCACATGTGTAAAGTACCAAATACAGCTGAAGATATTTCATATCCTGTCCCAGAAGATATTTTGGGGACTTCAAGAAGTTGTTCAACATTCATTGATGTTGCAATAATAGCCAAATGATCAATATTATTCTTTCCGGTAAGGGCTGGAAGTATTTATGAATTCCAATGAATTACAACATAATTTAAATTTTTTTCGTGAAATTCCGAATTAATATTTTTTGATATTTTTTGTCGATAGGCTTCACGGGACATTTTAATTGATGTTTGGTTTATAACATAAATACTAGAATCTAATGACAGTGCTTCTACACATGCAGTTAACAAATGGACAGCATTCCTATCACTTATTTTACATCTATTAAGAGTGGCTGATAATCTAGGCGTTAAAAGTTCTATCCTACCTCTTTTATATTTTGATGGACCTGGGACTGGAGAAAACTGTCTAATTACTTCATCTTCATTTTTCGATTCTTTAAAATTTGACGTTGATAAATAAATTAAGTATGGTTTTAAATTATATTAAGCATAATTTGTTAATTTATATTATTACATTTTTTAAAATTATTTTACTATTATAAATTACTTGTTAACAAAGTTTGTGAATGAGGTTTAAGTTTTTTATTGTTTATTTCGTTTCTAATTAATGTCCTTTGTTCAGCTCTAGTTAACTTCATATCCAAACCCAGGCGCGTACACAAAAAAATGCTTTGGGAGAGGTTTTACGTTGTACATTTTCATAATAATATTAACTATATACTAATTTTACTATATAAAAACATATTTAATATCATTTTCCTGAATTCCGGGAGGAGTTTGAACCCCTAAAACCCCCCCTTGTGTACGCGCCTGTCTACACCTATTATACAACCAGGATGACCTTATTTTCGTTGAAGTTGTAAAAAATTTATATCATCTTGAATTTTCATTATATTAAAAGGATTATGAGCAATATCTAATAAATTGTTTAATTTATCTTCGAAATCTTGTTCTCTTTTTCTATATAAATCATTCTTCCTCGTTTTATTCTAGAGTTTTAAGATCTTCATATAATTTTTTTTATAATATTAGATTAGTCTTGAGTAGGTATACGAGATTTTTCCCAATATATTAAACATTCGTCTACAATAAGTGCTACACTTGCATGCAAATTTAATTCGTAAATTTGTAAATTATAAAAGAGAACATTCAAGCAATTTCTTTGAGATGGCAATTTACTACCAGTTATTTGGTAGTTTATTTTTCCCACAAGAAAAACTTGATTTCGCGGCATATTAAACTACAATTAATTACTTTTCATTATAACTTAAACTTTATATTAAACGACGAATGACATAAAATATTCGATAGTGAATCGAATACGATTAGTTGGATTGTAATAGTGCATTATGCATTAAAATATTAAGATGATATCGCAAATGTTTCAATAAATATGTGTTTCAACGAAAAATAGAAGATAAGATAGGTTCCCAAGATAAGATTAAATTCAGCTCTAGTAATAATTAATTTCATAGCCGTTGACAATTTTTTTGGAAAAAAATCAGACGAAATTCAAGTAAATATAGCCAAAACCTATATAAAAGATGTTTTTATGACATTTGTACCCAAAAACTTTTTTTAGATTATTTAATTATTTTATACATAAAATTTTATCATATACCTAACCGTACGTTATATATATTTAAAAAACCGAAAAAATCTAATTTCGAAAAATATATAGAATATTCTGATATTTTTTAATTTTTCTTCAAAAAATAATGTACTTAAGAGAATTTGCATTGAATGCTTTTTTATAGACATTAATAAAATCTATCATTAAGTTCTTTGCATGTTCATGCTAAATCCTATACATTCTGAATTAATTTAAAAAAACAAGAAAACTACTCTCTTTTGCCATATTTCAACCCTAATGCGACACCAGAAGAGGTTGAGTGAGACCTTCCAAATTTTACCTATAATATGTACATATATGACTTAACAAATTAGAGAGGTACTGTATTAAGTTTTTGAAGTAAAATATTCCACCTAAATAAATAAGGACCACCCTAATATATATATATATATATATATATATATATATACAGGGAGTGGACAAAATAATATGAACACCTGATATATACGCAATTTATTATATTTATATATTGATTTATAAGTAAGGTGTTGGGCCATCGTTTGCTTTTAAAGTAGCTTCAATCCTTCGCGGAACAGATTCATAAAGAACATGAATAGTTTCCAACGGAATTTTATCCCATTCTTTTAGCAAAATATCCGCCGATTGCTTCAGTGATGTTGGAGATATAGTACAAATAATTTGTAATTATATTGCATGGTGTTCATATTATTTTGTTCGCCCTCTGTGTATATATAATGGAGGTAAGATAACCACCCCAAATAATTGGGAGAAAGGCGAAAGAGTAGTAGAGAAAAAGAAGACGATTTGTTAAAATAAATGTATATTAAATAAAAATGTAAATAATAATATTTTTTACCTCTATTTAAATCGAATTATTTATTTTTTCCTCTGGATTATTTGAACACGCTATAAATCTCGAATTTTTAGCTCAGTCCCTTGAATTTCAAATTGTCTTATGACCAGGGACGGCATGAGGGGGTGGCCAATAGGGACAGTTGCCCAAGGCCCCGCGGTTCTGATTTAACTAACTTAAAATATTTTATTAATATGAATTATAAGACTCAACATTTATTTTTCCCATGGCCTCGCAAATTCTTGCACCGTCACTGCTTGTAACTACTGTATTATTATTTCGCTAATGTTCTTTATTTATTATTATTTTTTACAATATAAACAAAACATTTCAGTAAATGAAAAATCATTTTCTAGTTAGTATCCGTTAGGAATAATAATACTTCGATTTTTGACTTAATCTGCATGATTTAAACGTTACTCTAACAATAATGTAGATTGATAAACATTCTAAATATTCTAAAGTTCTGAGATTTATATTTTAAATTATATTATTTTACAGAACGGTTTGGCACAATGTTTGGAACCTTTGAAAAATGTTGAGTCAAATTTGATGTTTCCGAGGTGTCATTACATTCGATGTCTTGCGGACTATAATGAATTTCTTGAAGACTACATAATAACAGCATTGGTGGGTACACTGAAAATCATCGTACAATCGATTGAAGAAAACAGAAGAATATTCTCTGAAAGAGGCAATGTATGTAATTACTTATATTATAATAGTTATGAGAAAAATATTTGTTCTCCAGATACCATATGAAATAATCAAATTTGCACATCGCTGTGTGCTCAAATTTCTGGACTCACGACAAAGTGGATCAACGGAATCAGATATGTGGAAATTCAATAGTCAAAAAGACATATGGGACGAGTTCTTTAATCACTATACACAACTGATTAATAATGATAACGCTACAATTCATATCGAATATAGCTACCACTTAGAAGTAACTCAATCGATATAATATATACTAATTATTTATTTATCTAACGGATCATTTTCAACGTGAAATTCAATTAAAGAAACTGTGATAAATTAAATAAAAATATCGTAATGAACATAAAATTTAATTTAAAAAAAATTAAAATTAAAACAATTTATATAAATATATTAATTATACAGATGAATGTTCATTATTCATCGAGTTTCTAACTTTCCAACTGATAATAAATTAATAAGTGACCTTGTGTATTATATGTAATTCCTGTTTATACAATTGAAGCATATTCTTATGTTATAATTTTTTAATTTGTATATGATAGAAATGCTGTCTCATAAAATTTTGATCACCTGGTATATATTTTGTAATTAATTGTAATATTAAATTCGTATAATTGTAGAAAAATGTATACGCGAAATGTAAATATCTATTGGAAAACGTGAAAGTCTACTGTCCACAACACTTCATTGACGGGAATACAAACACGTGGATAATAAAACCAACGTCCAACTGTTCGGGGCATGGAATTATAATGTCTAGAGACATAAACACGATAAAAGAAAAAATCTTTGTATCAGAAGGACTTAGAAGCAATTATATTTTACAGAAATATATAGGTTCATAAAACTTATAACATTTAATACCAGATGATAATTTTAAAACAATGTTTATTTGTAGAAAAACCTCTTTTGGTTTATACTTGCAAAATCGACTTGCGACAATGGTTTCTAGTAACTAATATGACTCCGATTGTTGTATGGATGTACAAGTCAGTATGCAACTTATCTATACTCAGGCTGTATATAGCTGTGTTGACGGGAAAATGTTTCTTATCGAACCACACATTTGAAAACTATGTGAAATATTATTTATCTTAAAATATTGCATTATTTTAACATTTTATCTTATGTTATCTGTCTATTAAATAAAAGTAATAAATATCAACGAATTAACGATCCCAGTCTACGGCTTTGTATCGTTTGGTTTTATGATATCAAATTATGAAAAATATAATTTAATTAAATTAAACATTTAATCAATTTCCAAATATTTTTAATTGGTTAGAACACCACGAGATACTTATACAAAAGAAAGTTATTAGCAAAATAATAAAATTTCATTTGACGACCAAATTGTGTTACAGGGAAGGTTATGTGAGATTTTGTGCAAACAGTTTTTCCATGAAACATATGCACGAGTCCATTCATCTCAGCAACGTCAGATTGCAAATGAGATATAGAAATGTTCGAAAAATGAACGTACCAGAGGAATGTATGTGGGACTATGAAGAATTGCGAAATTATTTAACGTAAGATGTAGTATTAGGTCTTTGTAGGGCTGTTTTAATTAGAAATTGGAACCTTAATGAATTTTACGATTCTAGTTCCGATTAAATTTTTAGAAAAAAAAATTGGTTTCGGTTTCGGCATCGGTTCTTAAAAAAAACTAAAATTTCAGTTTTGGTTTCTTTTCGATTTAAAAAAAAAAATATTAGGTTTCTGTTTCAAGTAATGGTTTAACATTTGTGTAAGAAAATATTTATTCTAGTTCGGTTCTTTAAATAATTTAATAAAATATTTGTAGTGTTAAATGGTGTCAGTTATGGCGGTTAATGCCAATTTTCGACTAGATATTCTTCTAATAGTCTAAGACTAAATAAATAAAAAAAATTACTCATTACTGTTGCTTAATGCAAAACCCTGTTTCAAATAACTTTTTTTGGCTTTTAATAGTTTATTCATTGATTGTTTATTGTTTATAATTTTCGAATCACCACTTTTTAGGTACATCAGTATTCTGTATTTAATTACTTAAAATATACGTTAATTTATTTTTTTATTACGGTATACTATATTTGTTTAAGAATATACTTGCGTTCAAGAGTTTCAATAGATAGTACATAGGAAAGTTTGTTCAACTTTCACAGAACTTTATACCAATCACTTTACCTCATAGGTATATAATAGTTATAAATATGTGCTTTACCTTAAAAAAATCTGTGATATATGAATATTAAAACATTTTAGAATACTTAACAATAGTGCAAACTGTTAAAAATCTCTTAATATTTATTGATGACTTATTCGAGAAATCAATATAATTAAAAAAATATTTATAATTAAATAATAATTACTAAATAATAATATACCGACTGCTATGGGAATTACGTTTTAGTGTTCTATTCGTTTCAGTGCTATTGGTCAAGAACACGCATGGGACGAGTTGATATTCCCAGGGATGAGTGAGAGCGTATACGCCGTGATGCAGGCTGCTCGGGACACGATGAGTTACCGAGAAAACACTTTCCAACTTTTCGGAGCCGATTTCGTGATAACCGAAAACTTCGTTCCTTATCTGATCGAGATTAACTCCATTCCAGGTCTCAATCCGTCGACATGCGTTATAGCCAACCTGGCACCTATGCTTCTCGGAGATATACTGAAAGGTAAGCACAAAGTTTGATGATACTAGTGTTAAAAATAATTATAAATTTGTTATCAACTTAAAACGAATATATCAGAATTTATTGTGTATATTATAGCATTAAAAAAGGAAATACTTAATAATTTTACATGTGAAACATGTTCATTTTGTCGAAAAAATAAATGTTTACAATATTATTTTCTATCATTTCCAACTGCAGATACGTACACTTCTTGGATAAAATATTGTATCTATCAAAACATTTTCATAACAAATCTAACCGCGTCAACTGATAATATTATGAAACGCATTTATGAAATTTTTAAATGTTAAGTGCGTTCGATCAGACCAACCATAAAGGTCTTCGCTATGAGACTATAATAATTAGTGTGTCCCCAGTACGTGTCAGTGACACCACGCAGATACAAAAAAACTTCCAGGATCAATAACTATCACTTATAACCAAACCCAGTTTAGAATATTCTTCTCAGATGAAAAAATCATTTGTTTCGTATGCAAATTAATAGGACACACATCATCATCAAGCAAAAACAAAAATCCTGACAACTCAACAAGCACCCAACATGATACAGTCAGCCACACCCACAGCTCAAATGAGGAAATTGCTGATATATTATTAGAAAACGTACAACCTCCCTTCAACCCTCTCGAAGACAAAACCTTACATACAGGCAACAATGACTGGCATGAAGAATATGTAAACCACTCAAACGATAATACACATATAGCTAAACAAATACAAAAAAATACACCTACACCAACTACCCCCACTGCACAAACAAAAATACCTGACGCATCTACCCCCAAAGTGCTCACGACACCTACCTCTTCAAACGACGAAACCTCCTTCCACAGCCAGATAAAAAGAAAATCAAATTTCAACTCAGGACCAACTCAGTAAACAGCACAGAGGACAACAAAACAGATAACGCCCTAAAGCCGGCCGAAGATATTTTCTCCGACAGTAAATCATCTCCAGAAAACTTCGGGAACCGATCAATTAATATATATATATACTATGCAACAAAATAAATTCAGACATACCCAGTATAATAAATTTATTTGAGAAAGTCCGCCCAAATATCTCAGATCGATGGATGAAAACCAAGCTTACAAAAATGGCGAATCGCTTATTCCAAATGATTCCTCCACAGGATCATAAACCTCCAAACTAATCCAAAAGCCCACCAAGACCCCTACTTCAATTAAGTCAAATCATACCCTTCATACTCCAATCCTTACAAGAAAACCACTATCAACACTATTAGTACTCATATAATCTTAACATCATGAATAAAATTATAAAATGGAATATAGATAGCTTTTATAAGCGAAGCATAGACATGCAACGCATCCTTTATGACTTTCAACCACAAATACTATGCTTCCAAGAATCCAACTTTAAAATAGAACCAAACAGTCATCTCAAAAACTACTCCGGATAATTATAAAACCGTATAAATCCTGCAAGAGCCAGCGAAGATGTAGCAACGTTTATAAAAAATAACATCCAAAGCCACCAAGTAAATTTACATACATACTTAGAAGCTATTGCAATAATAGTTAACTTTCAAACTCAAATATGCGTATGCATCATTTACCTCCCTGATAGCCACAACTTCACCTTACAAGATCTCACCGACATTTTATCCCAACTTCCCAAACCTTTCATAATAGTTGGTGACTTTAACAGCCGAAATCCACAATGGGGATCTGCATATACAGATAGAAAAGGCAAAATAGTAAAAACATTTTTAAAAAATTCAAAATTAATGCTCTTAAATGATAGTAGTCCTACTAGATACAATCCAGTCAACGGAAACCTATCTGCCATTAACCTATCCTTAGCAAACTCAGTAATTTCCTCTCAAATTGAATGGAACACCCTTCCCGAATACAACAGCAGTGATAATTGGCTTATTATGATTCAATTATTTCACCAATCACTCATTAAAGAACCGATAAATAAATGAAAGCTAAATTCCCCAAATTGGAATACATTCTCCAACCTCATTGGCTAATACCTAATGGAGAACCAGTTAGACAATCTTAATTTCATACCACAAATCCCTAATCAATCATGCATTGATGAAATTATTAAAAATTTCACAAATCTTATTATAGAAGCAGCCAAACTCACAATAAGAAAATTCAATCGTTCCAAAAATAAAAAAAACCGTCCCATGGTAGAATGACGACTGCAAATATTTAATTAGAAAATATAAAATAGCTCTTAATCGCTTCAAAAAAATCAAACTACTATCTGACCACATACTGACCACATATTACTTAAAAAACATAGAGCAGAATCCAGATATATCATAAAAAAAAGTAAAACTGAATATTGGCATAACTATACGTCAACAATCAACAGCAATGTTCAATCTACAACTCTCTGAAATAAAATCAGAGCACCAAAGGATCCAAATATCAATCTATATCCAATAATATGTCATATAATAATGACAATCTAGTATCAGACCAAGAAATTGCTCAAGCCTTTGCTAAAACCTTTCAAGCTAACAGCAACAACACTAATTATGATGATAACTTCCTCATATACAAAAATTAAATAGAAAACAACTTGTCAGAAGAAGTCAACACAAATACCCAAACAGATAATCATGAATACAACCTCCCTTTCAATCTAAACGAACTTAAAGCAACATTAAGAAACTGCAAAAGCAAAAGCCCGGGACCTGATGATATACCTTACATATTCATAAAGAAACTCTCAGAAAAAGCCCTTAATACACTACTTAACATCTGAAACTTAATATGGAATAACGGAATTTTTCCCAGTCAATGGAGACAAGCAGTTGTGGTACCGATCCTAAAACCAGATAAAGACAAATTCAATATAAATAGTTACCGACCCATCTCCCTTATTAGCAACCTCAGCAAACTATTAGAAAAAATGATCAACAAACACCTAACTTGGTATTTGGTATTTAGAAATAACAAAGAAAATAACAAAATATCGATGTGGATTCCACCAAAACCACTCAACCCTAGATGTCCTCGTCACCTTACATACAGATATAACTGACGCCATTACTAAAAATCAACATCTAATCTTGATAGCCCTGGACATTGAAAAGGACTATGACATGGTATGGAGAAAAAACGTCCTATCCACGCTCATTAAATATAAAATATCCGGAAATATGCTCACTTTCATACACAACTTCCTTCAGAACCGTAAAATCCAAGTAAAATAGGAAACACTCTCTCAAATCACTTAAACACCGAAAACGGGTTACCTCAGGGCTCATCAATAAGTGTAACCGTATTTCTCATAGCCATAAACGATATTTTTAACAACCTTAAAAATCCCATAAAATACTCACTGTTTGCCGATGACTGCAACATTTATTGCAGCGGAGCAAATATTAAAACTACTATAGAACTCCTACAGACGGCAATAGATTCTTTATTAAATTGGTCATCATTAACAGGCTTCAAATTATCACCCAAAAAAACCCAATGCATAATATTCAATAAGAAAAAAACGACTCACTACATCATATATACCTAAATAATAATATTAAAGTTAACTACACTAACAATATACGTATACTTGGAATCATTTCGATAACAATTTTACCTGGGCCACACACATCAAAAAACTTAAGGTAGAATGCAAAAACAGAATGAAAATAATAAAAACGCGCTCCCACCACTTTTGGGGAGCAAATAAAAACCGTCCTTAACCTTATACAAATCACTTATATTATGCAAAATAAATTACGGATCCATAATGTACAATTTAGCCAAGTCCAATGTCACCAAAATTATTGATCCGATACACAATAAAGGATTTAGACTCTCCATCGACGCATTTCGCACCAACCCAGTTAATAGCACTCTCTGTATAGCAGGCAAACCCTCTTTACAAGTCAGAAGGAACAAGGAAATCCTCAAATACATACAACATCACATCACATTCAGAATACTTACATCTGACACTAGACCCAACAAACCAAGCCAACATAAAAAAATCATTGATACATATAAAATACTAAGCGATAACTTCACATTCTATATCGAACCTTTGTCTCCTTTTATTATAGTTCCCTCTTGGAAAAGACACCTCAATATAAACACTCAACTTCTGCTATTTAATAAGAACAGCAAAATTCAGCGAAATTGTAAATACAGAATATCCAGTTTATACCCAAATATACACCGACGCGTCCGAAAATTCCAATGACGTGGGATTCGCCTTCACAACAAGTACATCATTCAAACTATATAAACTTCCTCCCGAAGCTAGCATATTCACTGCAGAATCTCAAGCCATCAGAGAGGCCCTGACGTACCCAAATACAATTACTACCAACAAAATACTACTAATTAACGATTCCCTCAGTGCCCTCATAGCTCTAAAATCACCAAACTCCTCAAATGAAATCATACAACAAATACACAACATTTTAGCTAAATCAAAGAAAACCATCCAATTCATGTGATTACCGTCTCACACAGGCATTATGGGAAACTAAACAGTCGATATATTAGTAAATGAGGCAATCACATCAACCACAGCAACAATTATAAACACACTTACCTACCAAGACATTCTAAAAAAAATAAATACATATTCAATTGAAACATGGTAAATAATTTGGGACTCAGTTCCACATTCAAACAAATTAAAAAATTCGTTGGTAAGTGGCATACCCCCTCTAATTTATCCCGCCGAGAAGACATCACAACCACCAGAGTAAGAATCGGACACACCAGCCTCTCGCACATTCATTTAATCAAGCACGAAGAAATACCCAAGTGTACCCCCCAATGCACTGAACAACTTACAATTAAACATATCATACTTCACTGCCCAAAATTCTCACAGTCAAGATACATCCTAAATCGTCCAACCTCAATGGAAGAAGCTCTCTGGGAACACAACTCAAATCAAATCCATCTCTTCTTTAAAGCCATCGGATATATCTCTAAAATTTAAAATAACGTTATCATTAATTTTATAAGTAATTTTTAATCAATTAAACATTGTTAAATAATGTAACATTGTAAACACAGGCTAATGACCCAGTAGTTGAAGCTTTATTCTCGAATAAAAAAAAAAAATAGTGTGTCGTATATAGTGAGATATTTTATCAGCATATTGTTTAAAATAATGTTTTTCTTTTTTTCCGTAAGTGATGATAGACCACCAACAAAACCCAAACGCTGACACGGGATTGTTCGTGAAAGTCATACCGGAAAAATTGAAACCGATCGATCAGCTGACCTCGAAGTATCGTACATTTGCCCCTCCGAAAATGACGCCCAGCCAACGTCATCAACAACGGATGGACGATCTGAAAAACAGACTGATGGCAATACAGTTCCAGGTGAAACCCGAGGAAAAGTTTTCCGAGCGATACTTGGGAATCAACCGCGACAACCTTTTGTTGACCACCATCATGTCGCCAGACCCGAAAATCAATTCCACGAAAACCGTGGCAACCGCCAGCGAGACCATAATGAACGACTTGCAATCGTCGGCCGCCGAAAAGATCACGAAGCTCAAGAACTTGTACAATCTCAAATCAAACAACTGCGGTCCAGGCACAGGTTCGTCGGCACAGCCAGACTGCGATCGGCAGAGAGGACGGTGATGGACGCATCTGATTTAGACACTTTTGGTCACTTGTTAAATTATACTCCGTCTCGTGGAAACATTCGACTGTATCCCCTGTAAGGTTACTGAATATGCAACGTAAAACGAAAATATAAACGACCTTTGTTTCAAATTTATAAGATTGTACTTTCACTGTGTTCCAAAACAACTGACACCTGTAATAATGGGTAATATGCGCACAATTCGAAAAACGAATTCATAACATGATCCGTGGAAATTTATTTTGTTTTCATAGTTTATGCGCTATTAAAAAAATCATAATATTTTGATTTATCAGATATTTAAGCGTAAACGATGGTTGACTTAGTGACCGGGTGCACACTAGATCTCAGAAACACTCAGTCTACGGTTTAATTATTAACAAAATAAATAAAAACACATCTAATTTTTATTTTATTGAATTAAACATATAACAACAAAATAAAATGTAAAAATTTATTTATTTTTTTATTTATTTATTTAATTTGTGTTTTTGTGTATTTTTAAAATGAATAAATAAAAATTTGTAAATTCTTGTTATTGCAGACCCTTCGTATAATATTGTAATACATAAAAAAATATAAATTAAAAATATATTCCATATATTGATTTTTAAATTGAATGAAGCATTGAAGCATTGAATGAAGAACGTATAAAAAAAGTATTGACTTAAAATGTAATCATTAACAGGTATATCTAATAAATCAAATTAAATAACATACCTTAGTTATAGTCGATAGGTTACATAGAATTTAAAAAAAACATAAGTACTCTTATATATTTTCGCTACAGGGCTATTGACCAAATGGATAGTGGTGCCTTTGACGAAAGGAGTACAACAGTGAATAAATATAAATTGGTAGTGGGCTGTATAATAAAGTAAAAAAAAAAATAATAATAATTGTTGCCAATTAGGTACACTAAAAAAGAAATAATATAAATGTTGCTGGTTGCCTGGTTGGCACAATAACTAAAATGATAAAATGCTATCCCTTTAATAGCGTAGGTACAAAGTTACAATAATTAATAAATAACACTATGTGACCCTACAGCGACACAACTACAAAATTATAATAATTAATAACTTGCCTTTGATGACTAGGCTCATCAGCCCTTACACTAATAAACGAATATGGTCGACCAATACTCACAAAATGTGACTGCATCAAAGGGCGGGTTTCATCCTACACAACCACAACGAGGAATGTGCTTATGGAATAAACTAAATAATACAAAGTTATAAAGCGCAGCCCTTATTGCGTGCGACCACCCAAGAACAGTCACAGACGAACACGTGTCTGCAATTAAAACTTAACACAAAACAACGTGGTTTTCACAATAAATCGACTGCAGACGAGGACAAACCGAAACCTGATGTGCATACTTAGAAGACACAACGACGAGAGCGAAATGGTGCCGACAACATTCATCAAGAACGCTATGGCCGCCGGACACCACAAAAAGAATAAAAATGTCTCAGTACCACCTCACTAAAACTAAAACAAGAGGACTTAATGAAACTTTGTGGCACTGAGAGCATAAATAAACAATAAATGAAAAACATAACCGACAACTATTCGAAAACGTGGAATAACGATTATTTACGCACGATGATAACAATGCGATTACCATAGACCATCGTTTCTCAACCTTTTTAGTGTCGCGACCCCCAAAATAGGTATAAAATATAGTCAATAACTTCGCGACCCCCCTCCATCTAGGTTAGGTAAAAATTTAAACAGTAAAAATATCCTATCATTAACCAAATGAAATATAACATTTTAAATACCAATTTATAAATACCATATCTAGTAACTTTAGCTTATTAAGTTTGAAAGTTATGTATTGGTCGTTGGGAATTTCCATTAGTGGAGTAGTGCCCGTTTTATTGATAAGATATCTACATTTAATCGACTGCTTATTATTGTTATTTTTAATATTATTTTTATGTGTTATGAAACGATTACAGTCGCGCGTCGTTCGTGTTATAAAACTCATGTGATATTGCGTTTATTAAGTTGGTTTTTAGTGAGTCTTTTTAGTTTTGTGTAATTTGAATTAATGATTATGGATAAATATATAACAAAACGTAATGCTCCGTCTACTGATGAACCAGCGAAAAAAAATTCAGGCCATATAACAATGAGTATTTGAAATATGGGTTTATTTCACTTGATAATAAGCCGCAATGTGTTGTTTGCTTTCAAGTTCTATCTCAAGAAAGTATGAAACCTTCAAAATTAATTCGACAACTGGAAACAAATCACCCACTTTTAGTAAAAAAACCAATTGATTTTTTTGAGCGTAAATCCCTTTTTTTAAAAAATCAACAAACGTGTATTCTTAAATCAAGTCAGAATAACACCGCAATACTTGAAGCATCATATTTAGTAGCACTTAGAGTAGCTAGGGAATCAAAGCCGCACACGATTGCTGAGAACCTCATTCTACCCGCTGCTATTGATATGGTCAATATTATGATAGGTGCAAAAGAAGCAAACAAATTAAAAACTATTCCACTTTCAAATGACACAATATCAAGACGAATTAATGAAATGTCAACTGATGTGCACAATCAAATAGTACAAAATCTAAAATCAAGAGTATTTTTCTATTCAGTTTGACGAATCAACAGACGTAACAAACTTGGCACAATTTTTATGTTTTGTTCGCTACGAATGTGACGGGACAATTAAAGAAAATATACTTTTTTGCAAATCAATACTAGGTCATGCTACTGGACAAGGTCTTTTTGAATTATTTATTGAAACAACAAAAAATGAAAATTTGGACTGGAACAAATGAATTTCAGTGTGTTCTGATGGCGCAAGAGCAATAATAGGGAAAAATAGTGGTTTAATAGTAAAATTAAAAGAATTAATGCCACATATTGAATGGACACATTTTTTTCTTCACAGGCATGCACTTGCCGCAAAAAAAAGGCCAGATAATTTAAAAAATGTGTTGTTTGAAGCTATAAAAATAGTAAATTATATTAAAAGTCAACCGCTGCAGTGCAGATTGTTTTCCGCACTATGTGAAGAAATGGGCTCCAAGCGCAAGTCACTGCTTTTCTATATCAAAGTTAGGTGGTTCTTACGAGGAAAAGTGTTAACACGGATTTTTGAGTTGCGAAATAAATAATATAATAATAATAATAATATTAATAATATTTTTTAAAAATCGAAATAGCACATTTTTAACTTTTTTCCAAGATAATGAGACATTACTATTTTTGGCTTATTTGAGTGATATATTTTCACATTTGAATGACTTGAATATAAGCTTACAAGGCCGTGAAAAGAACATTCTAATAATGTCAGATAAATTTAATGCTTTTATCAAAAAACTTGGAATTTGGATCATTCGTCTCGAAAAACGAAATTTTGATGCATTTGATTTAACATCAAATTACATTGAAAAAAATGTAAACTTAAAAAGTCCTATTCTTGATCGTGTTTTTGATACTATGAAAACACATTTAAGAGAATTGAAAATTCAATTACTCGAATATTTCTCGTGTAACGACAATGACTTCTCAAATAGATGGGTTCTTAATCCATTTGATGAATATATTGTTGCAGTTGCCAAATTACCAGTTAAGACTCACAACCAACTGATAAGAAATTACAGCTACAATTTGGATTTCAAGATTTAAATAAGGTTTGGATTGCCCGGAAAAATGAATATGGAAGTTTGGTAATAGATGCATTGAAAATTTTGATTCCGTTCGCTACTTCTTATTTATGCGAAAAAGGATTCTCATCCATGGTGGCAATAAAAACAAAGTACAGAATTCGTTTGTTATCACTAGAAAATAACTTACTTTTGTGTTTCAGATGTTGAACCACAAATTAAGCAACTTTTAAATGTAAAACAAATTCAAAGATCACACTAATTATTTGTTTAAAATTATTTAAAAAATCTTAAATATTTAAATAAAAAGGTGCATTTTGTAAATCAGCATTTTATTATTTTTGACCTGCGCGACCCCGAGTCAAGGTGTTCGCGACCCCCTGGTTGAGAAACGCTACCATAGACATATTAAGATCTTATATGTCTATGGCGATTACGTACTCGGCCGGTCGCACACGGAGACTTATCGCTGCCACCGATAATAGCCACGGATACGCAACTCATTGCTATGCATCGCACGAAAATGATAACATGAAACACATCATAGACGTGTTTAGCGCGAACAATATATTTTATTCATTTTTTTTTTTTTTTTTAGTTTTATCTTAATATTATATAAAGAGACAGTTATTCACAGACAAGTGTTCGCAAAAATCTTTAAAACTACTGGACGGATTTCAAAAATTTTTTCACCATTAGAATGCTATATTATCCCTGACAGGGCTTATTCTAAAGCGCAGTTAGGCTTATTTTGCGTATTTGGAAAAGGTAGATACGCACTTGATAGTAAACTTTTGCGTCATTGATTTTTAATTCAATGTTGTTTAGTATTATTTTATACATTACATTATGATTTATAAACAAAGTAAAAAGGAAATTTTTTAAAAAATATTAAAAAAAATACTTTGAACACTAATGTAAATTGTTTTATATCTTTTAAATACATTACATTTTAAATTACTTCACATAGAAGCTACACATTTTATCATTTTTAACTATAATTTGACGGTATATTTTGAGATCATAGTTCTATTTTGATAGGCTTGTTTAAACAAAATGCGTAGTTGATAAAAATCCTTAGAATAATTCCTGATCCCTGAGTAACATAATTTATTATTAGAAAAAATTAGAAATTCCTTCTAAAACTTCAATAATAAAAGTAGAAATTTGATAAATATGATTATAGATTCCAGTGTCTCAAATTCGAACCAAGATCGTGGTGGCCTAACTTTTTATATTCTTTTTACATTTTTTTTGTCTTCTTTTTACTTACCTACAACTTTTATAATTGATCGCGTTTCGAGGAAGGTTGTAATAATACGCATTGGAAAATTGATTGGATATCCGTAAATCAGCGTTTCTTAAACTGTGTTCCGTGGAACCCCGGGGTTCCGCGAAGATCACTTCAGGGTTCCGCGAAGCTTAAGTAATTTTTTTCAACATCTTCAAGAAAATTACTTATATTAAATAATAATGTATATGTCATATGGAATAGTCTATCACTATACTCTAACAGTCTAACCTCTATACTTCTATAATATATTGTGTTCTTATACTGCTTATACAGTTATACAGTTTATATACAGAAATAATATTTGAACGTCGTTGATAAAAATACTAATTGGTTATGACCGTCCGCGATAGCGTGAACTTAAGAGAAACGACCGTCGATAACGATAAGCATATGAGTAACATAGGTACTAGTACTATTCATAAATAATATTTGTGTGTCGTTAATAAAAATACTGATTGGTCACGGCCGTCCGCGATAGCTTGAATTTCTGAAAAACAGATAAACGAATAAAATAACGTTTCAACGTTTCAATACAACGCGACAGTCCACCGCGTGTCTTGTGACCTGTGCGTTATATTCGAATGTGTTGTGTTATAATTTTATTGTTTATCTCAAAGTTGGTTTTGTTATTTTATTTGCAATATGGAGAGATGGTTTAAAAAAGGAACTCTAAAACGTTCCTCTCAAGAACCTGAATATTTTGCGGTGAACTCAAGTCATATTGATAACCATAGTAATAATGAGAATGATACAAATGAAATCACCCCAAAAAAAAAATGTAGAAAGTATGATGAAAGTTACATATCATTAGGATTTATGAATAATAATGATAATCCTCAGTGCGTTATTTGCAGCAAAGTTCTCCCAAATAGCTCTATGGCTCCAGCTAAAATGCGTCGTCATTTAGAATCTGTTCACGATGAACTTAAAGAAAAAAATGTAGAATTCTTTATTCGAAAGCGTGACGAACTATTAAAATCAATAAACTGTATGGTTCAAACCACAAAAACTGTGAATGAAAAAACAACCGAAGCTTCTTATTTAGTTAGCTATCAGATAGCTCAACGCGGTGAAGCTTACACAATTGCCGAAAGTCTTATAAAACCTTGTGCTATGGAGATGGTAAAATGTATGTTAGATGAAAAATCTGCAAAAGAAATATCTAAAATCCAACTATCGAATGACACGGTAGCTAATCGTATCAATGATTTAGCAGCCGATATACAGAATGAACTTATTTTTCGTCTCAAATCGTGCAAATTTGCATTAAAAATGGATGAATATCCTCAATTGTCACAAAAGGCCGTGTTGGCACTTTTACCATTTGCAACCACGTATATGTGTGAAACGGGGTTCTCTACCTACGTATCGACCAAAACAAAATACCGCAACAGACTTGATGCCGAACCTAATATGTTATTAAAACTTTCATCAATAAAGCCCAATATTAAGAATATTTGTAATAATAAAAAGCAATTTCACGCATCTTATTAAGTAATTATTGTTAAAGTAAAATTATATACAATTTTTATTATTTTTATTATTTTTTTTAACATATTTTTTAATTAAGTACCTTTAACACAATATAAGTATATGAAATAATTATATTTTTTTTTTGCAAATAATCCTAACAAAAAGCTTAAAAGCTAGAAAACAAAGTAAGGGTTCCACGATAAAAGTGGACGACAAAAAGGGTTCCACGGATAAAAAAGTTTAAGAAACGCTGCCGTAAATAATAATAATAGACAATTTGTATTTTCGTTACGCTGTCGTCGAACACGTTACAGTAACGATGGGAGTACAGCGGAGGAGAAATTGCCTTAATACCCCGTGTACTTATGAATCCTACTGATTTACCTTTACAGTTTAAAATATTTGAATTCCCCATTAAAGTTTCTTTCGCTATTACAATTAATAAGGCTCAAGGTCAAACATTTCAATATGTTGTTATTGATTTTCGCTCCGATTGTTTCTCACTTGGACAGTTATATGTGAGATTATCAAGAACAGGTAAACCAAAAATCAGATTATTATATTAACAGTTGGTTTTCTAAACAAAAAAATGTTATTTACTCTGAAGAATTTCATTGAATTAAATAAACAAATAAATTTAAATAGTATTTAATTTCATTTAAGAAAATATTTAAAAAATTACATATTGCATGCACATTACATGATACATAAAGTAGGTAATTATTACCTAATGAGATTACTATATTATTTAAAAAAATGTATAAAATAAAAAAAATAATTAAAACAGAAGAATCTAGTGCAACGATTTTTAAGTGCTACGATGTGCATGGGGGGGGGGGCAGCTATATATATGTTATGGGCAAAGTATACAATTTGGGCATTTTATACATTGTTCGGACAGTATATAAAATGCCCTTCGTATATTGGGCAGTATAGATAACGAATGATATGATTTAATGAAATATGATAAATCGTAAAACATAGTTAAAATAAAGTCAAATTATTATCTGTAACTAATTTATTTGTTCTTATCGTATTTTTACAATGGGGATGTCCGCTTGTCCACATATATACGCGTGTACGTGACATAATATATTATTACCATGTTTACTGATTTATAAGTATATTATATGAAATTGTAGTGATTATCGTGCAGTTGGCTTTTTACCTATTCTCAAAAATGAACTATTTAGTAATCGTAAATCGTTTGTAGAAGGCAAGTTAATTCATTCAGTGCGTACCTTATTACTTATTCGAATATGGAAAAATTTAATGAAGATTTAAACAATTTGTTAAAAAAAAAAAGTTCAAATAATTCATTTTTTACCAAGTTAAAATTTGATCAATTATTTTTACATGAAAATCAATTAATTAATCAATTGATACCAATATTTGTTGTGATTTTTTATCGTTGTTCCTTTTAGTCTCGCATGGTGCGAACTACTTGGATTTGTATTTATGAATTGAATAATTATAATATATTTGTTTGCGCCGAGAGCATAAATAATATTACGCGCGCCCGGACGCTGAATTGTCGTGTACGCCGCCCTTTACGTACAATCGCGGCCGTACACCGTGTGTATGGTGTATACGTGTGTATAGACCGGATAGTAGTGGTTGGGATCACCGCGCAAGCACCGTCCGACTATGTGGTGTGGTGGTGTGTGTAAGGTGTGTATACTTGTGTGTGTGTAACTTAAATTCTAAGATAAAAAATAAAAGGAACTAAAACAAATGAAATAAATGGTACACAAGGATGGTAACTACTGCTGCTGTTTATTATAAAATAAAAATAATAATAAGAATCGGCCTTCTGGCCCAACAATAATAATATAAATAATAATAATAATCAATAAATGTGGCCCTTTTGGCACGACATCAAATATTAATAATTAATATTAAATAATAGCCCATATGGCACACAGTAAATAAATAAGTAATTTTAATGATTAATAATAAATAAATAAATGATAATTTTAAAACTCACAATTTATCGATGTACAGCTGGCCAGCTGCAACTACCTAAAATCTGTAATTTAATTCACAATAATAATAACAAAATAGTGGCGATTAGCGCACGTATAAATAACAATAAATATAACGAATAATTGGCGATTTGCGCCTACAATAAAGTAATAATATATGAGGCAATTTGTGCGCACGTTTTTAAATAACTAAAAAATCACAATTTGCGGCGATTAGCGCCTATAACAATAATAATAAAAAACTTGCGAAGAACTTCTCGCACACGTATTCAATATGGCGGTTGAAAACAGACAGCCGGACGGGTAGAATATTATAATTCACACACGACAATTTTAAATAATTTTACAATATAATTCACGATAACAGATAGTGTGTGTGTTATGTAATGTGTGCGTGTGGCCGACCGCGGTGATACGCTCGGGTCGTCGACTGGCCGCTATGTTACAGCGGCAATAATATTGTTTTACGCCATTGTGGCTATTAATTACTACAATATTTCTATATTACACCATTGCGGCTAATACTTGTTAAATTGATATTTTTATTCTCATGTCATTGCGGCTCTTTTTTGTCAACTAAATTATTGCTGCAAGGTTTTGATTATAAATTTATTTACTATTATTTATTGTTAATCGGCTCTAATAGTCAATATTTAAATTTAGTCTTGTATTGTTTATTTTTTAGGATTATTATTATTATTTAATTTAGCTCAGGTAGCAGCTGGCCAGCGGTGCTCCACAAAATTGTGAGTTTTTCATATATATTATTATTTTATTTATTTATTGTTGATAGTTCTATTTTAAATTATTATATTTGTGTGCCACCGGCGATTTATTATACAAATTTAGTTATTTATTTTATTTATTTTTTTTTTTTAATATATATATCATCTACCAAATCTCACCATCAGTTACCACATTCTTCTCAACTATTATTTATTTTATGTTGTTGTGAGTTTTAAATCTCCGTTTACTATAGTTAACCCGAAACACCAGAGATATGATTATGCTATACTTTAATAGTTGCGAATCATGTAAAAGAAAAGGAAGCACAGCCAAGAAAGGATTGGTGGTGCAATCAATTATATCTACTGAGATGAATTAATCAATAATATAAATACATGGTCATTATTCATTGATTTATCATATTTCATTAAATCATATCATCTGTTATCTATATTGCCCAATATACGAAGGGCATTTTATATACTGACCGGACAATGTATAAAATGCCCGAATTGTATACTTTGCCCGTAACATATAAAAGAAGGATAAATTATAGTTGATACAAGATTCACCAGGTCAAATAAACCTCTGAAAAATTTAGCCATAGCAAATTGTTGCCGGGGCAGCTATATAATAAACAATTAATAAAATAAATCCTAAACACTCAGTACTAAGAACCATACAAGATAATGACAAGTTAAAATGTTTGACGCCCAACTAGGCTCCGGTCAGCTTATTAAAATATAGTAAGATAATTTACAGAAATCTAAAATGCTTTATTATACAACAATAAACATTCATGATTTCAGAACAAAAACAAAATTAAATTCTGATGACATTTAAATTACATCATTAAAATACGAATATTATAAATTTAATTTTAATCCTTAAAATTTGTTTCTATTAAAATTGATTTCTAACAATATGTTTTGTTTTTCGTGAATTGAATGTAATAAACATAGAATTTATATAATGTATTATATTTCTGTATTGTAGCAATATTATCATAAACACAAATAGGGGGAAGTTAGGTGGCTTAGTAACCTCCCTTAAATGATTTATAAGTCCCCTTCCAAAAAAAAAAAAAAAACAAATTAATTATACTCTTTAGCTGTAAAAATAAAAAATTTAAAACCAACACAATGAAAATAAATTATATTCACACCAATAGTACAAGGTTTTCCATATTACAAAAAAAAAAATTAATTTTGAGTTTAAAACTTAAAACGATATGGTTAAATACTTATATATATCTATATATATTTATTTATATTTTAACTTAAATTCGGGGCAAAACTATTAATCATAATAAATATAAAATATACTATAATAGTAATTATATTGTATTATATTATAATAACTATATACTATAATATTTAAAATAATAAATATAAATATGTTTTTATTTTTTATTCGTTATTTTGATTTATTTTTACCCAATTCTAACTGCAATGAAAACAATATGAGTTTTTATGAGTTAATTTTAAAATTAAATGCTGTACATGATTTGGTAAAATATATAATTATAAATCTCTATGTGTATATGTGTTTAAAAAAATTGATTATAATTTTTAAAAGCAAGTTCCACAGTTACACTATATTTTAAATTTTATTTTATTTTTAACTGTATTTATAAACTATAATCTGTTTTAAACAGTACAATATATCAATTCCAGGCATTTTCATATAATACTTACTACTTGCCTAATGCCGTACTACATGGATACATTTAATTGTTCAATGATTATGGTCTTAGTATTAGTTACTTATTTTTCTTTTCATTGAGATATATATATATATATTACTGCAATGTTACTCAATTATTTAAATTATTACAGTACTGAGAAATTCCAATCACTTAATTCTATTGGACGAGTGAACTCGGATTTAGTAATTAAACCCATAAGTTATTAATATTACTCTCAAAAAAATATAATTACCCGAGTGACAGTTGCTTCATAAATTATGTGTTTTATTATAATTTTTTTAACTAACTTAAACGTAATATTAATTATAATTATTACATGTTTTATCAAGATGTAGTTATAATTTTAGGTAACTATACGAAAATATTTATATTTATATAAATTTATATTATAATTTCTTATATATTTATATGAAAGGGTTAATCGTGTGTTTAATTATAGATTAAACTATACAATTATTGTGTACAAATGACACTCGGATGAAATCAATTTATTTGATTAATAAATTATAACACATCGAGTTAATGCTGAATGTAGATGGGTTTAGAAAATTAAAGAAGTTGAGTGTGCAAAGTCATATGAACTACTGTAACTTAGCAACTTA